AATAAAATTTAAAGTATAAAAATAGAATATTTCACTATTTCCAAAACTCCATACTTCTTATAGTAAAATAATAATTAACTATGCCTTTAATATTTATATTATAATAACACGTACACATGTTATGTCCCGTGTACACTAACACTTGTCGTTAAACTATTATAATGTTGCATGAATTAAAATATTTTATTCATACCTGATGTCGGTAACCGCGATTCCAGCCGTATGAACCGGCTACTAAAAGTACCCATTTTTTCCCCGGGTTCAAATGAAATCCATCTTTTTCCTCGGCAGACCGACCATGTTCATTTGGTAAGTGAGCAGCTAATGATCCAACCGTAAGTAACGTTAACCATACAAAATTAAGAACTCCTGTAATAAAATATAATACTCGTAATAATTTAAATATATTTACACATTTTCGTTTATCATTGATGGGTACCCTTGATAAATGGGGTGGAATTTTAATTTTATCAAATTTTATTTTTAAACACAGTAAATTAAATCAAAAAATCGGTATGTAGGCTTATTTATTAACTTATTTGTTTTAAAACTGGATTTTGAGTTTCACATATCACTCCAGTACTTTAAAATCTATCGAATTTGTAAAACTATTCACGGCACTAATTAAAATTTATAAAATAACATAACGATTTCAAATATACATTGGTATAAATAATTCAGGTATAATATCAAAGAATATGGCCTGAATGTTTCTAAATTAATGTAGTCAAATTATTAATTTCAATAGATATAGGTATATTAAACAACTTACCCATTGTGATGGATTCTGAGGTAACTAATTCGATGTTAAACGAATAATTGACAGTAACTACCTAATGTGTGACACGACCAACTTAATGAACAGTAAGCTATTGTTAAGTTCACCAAAATGTTTCCTATTTATACTGCAAAATATTGTATCCAGTGAAAAAAAAATTAAATTGGAAAATATGTCAAGTGTATGATTAAACTCTACAAAACAAATAATATACCTATTTACTAGTGTTTAAAAATATCAAAAAAAAAAAAAAAAAGTATTGAATACTTAGGTACTTTTAAGTCTAACAACTGATTTATATTAATATTTACAATTATAATTTGAATAGGTACCTAGTAAGTACTTATGTTCTGATAAAGATTATATTTTATACACGTCATACATATAATGATTGAAATGTGACTAAAAGATATATATATATATATACGACAATTATTCTTCCTCTCCTTTTCCAATATCCTAACTATTTGGTATGTTCTTAAATATATAGTAATTATTTTAATCTTATTTTTCTTCATCTTCATCTCCACTAATTAGGGTCAGCCATCCTCGTTCTAAACTTCCACTTGACTCAATCTCCTACCTCGCAAACAAAGTCTGTCCATATAGGCCATCCTTATGGCTCTATTCCATCATCCAATTACTTCTATTTCAAAGTTCCTTTCCACCTATTCCCTCTTATATTTATTTTTATTACAAATTTTTACTATACCAAATTCTTCTATCTCCAGAACATGCCCAAACCATCCCAGTTTATTTTCTTTCACTTTGTCCACATCGAAGACACGCCTAAACTGCATCATACGTTCTCATCCCTTATCCTATCTTCACTTGTCTTTCCAATCATCTACATAATCATTTTCATCTATGTTATATATTTTTGTCTATCACCCTACACTTCGAATCTTACAACATATTCGGTCTCAACAAAATTTTGTAGTATTTACTATAAATCTCATAGGAATTCTCTTTCCACGTAAAATACATGACACTTCTCTTAACTTTACCCAAAAAAACTTAAACTTATGATTCATATACTCATGAAATACACTTTTCTTTATCATTTATTGTCATAAGCTGGCCTATTGTGTTCCTCCATACCTGTACTCTCAATTCTACTTAATATCCTTAGTCCATTTTCTTCAAGTTTATTCTACACTTTATTCCTTAAAAATTCATCTATTAACTTATTTTAGAGTTTCTCTTATCAATGCTATATCATCTTAAATCATCATGCATCATAGTAGATCTTCTCACATATTTTCTCCGCACACATCCGATATGAGAAAATCCGCAAAAATCTTGTTTAGAACCACTCATATTGTTCAATAGAATTTTACATCGGCAGTAGATCATATGAAACCACATTTGTTGCCTCTTACAGTAGGTAAAGGGACCGTGAGAATTTTTTGATCCCCTCTTACAGGGACAATCGTATTTATATCTATTAAGTTGATTACTCCACCCTACAGAAACAATACCATTGGCCTACTAGAACCACTAATTCAGGTTATTCACCAATAGGAGCTTAAGGACTCATGTTCGCTAAACTCGTAGCAATTCAAGTTCATCGATCGCCACACGCACACTCTCACAACTAGCAATTGAAAATCCTTTCACTTTTACTGTTATATATAGTAGTAGACCAACGCATAATAAAATAATAACAATACTTATTATACTAGTATACTGCAACTACATATTACGCATTTTATAATCATCGACTTCCAGACGTACTCGACACTCATCCGGCTTCATATACGACGTAAATATATATTAGAATCCTTCCCCATATGAGATATATCTATACCTACTTATACTTACTCACCCTTATTTTATGTTTTCTCTCTTTTATATTCTATTACAAATGGCAACCAACTTGGTGCTCGAACCCATGACCCTGATTAAGAGTTTCGTGCTCTACCGACAGTCTTTTTACGTACAGGACGTATTTGTGACAATTGTAGATGAGAAAGAAACGAAGATGTCTAATGTATTCTTTTCGTTCTTGTGTAATCGTTATTGTTTAAATATAGTAAAGAGCTTTTCATGCCTCTATGCATTGTTTCTTAAATTTAGTATCTCTACGTATAAATTTATGTATGCATACATGATATACTATATCAATATTAATATTACGCAATCAAATTATCATTCCTAACTTAACAACAGACGAAAAATAAATATTCAAATTATTGACATATTGGTACCTAACTATACTTATTGTACTTATTTATACCTATTTCATCCTTATCGGATACACTAAAAATTATATACAAATGTAAGTACAGTCAATAAAGAATTTATTTCAAGTGGTGTCTGACTAGAATTTATAATATGTATATAAATCAAAAAATGTTGTTATAAAATTGTTCATATAAACAGTTGTAGTTAAATAATTTTGTTAGGTAATAGGGGATGAGGCTGATTTTTAAATATATTATATTTAACAATTATTACTATATATAATAAATATTTGTATGCATTTCTAAAATATTTCATAATACCACAACAATATTTTGAGAATTAGCTCACATTATTTTTTGGGAAGAATAAATATATTTTTGAAACATTCTATGCGTAAAATATTTAGGAAATATTGCAATATATCTGAAATAATCTACTTCAGATGTTTAGAAAACATTTGAAACTGACTACAAAAATTAAAAATTATAAAATTTAACAAATTTGTATGACTATTTTATTGTTAGGAATCAAACAAGGTTCCCACTATCCAGGTACTTTTACGTAAACCTTTTTAATTTTTTTTTTTTAAATTCACTCTATATTTAGGGGATATTGGGTTGACATTAACGAGGATGGTGCATCCAAGTCGGGGCCTCCATTCAAAAATGTATTCTAGTTGGGTACCAGAGTAATGCGAGTACTATACTAATGGGGTCCCAGGTTCCCGCGGTTACTATACTAGTTAGTTTCTAGATTTTCACAGGTCTCGAGTTAATAGTGAGTAGAATATAAGTTCTAAAAAGTACTTAAGCAGACACTTATATCAAAATGAGAATTATGGGAAAAAAACGACAGGAATGTGTTTTATAAAAATAATGATTTATAAAGGAGACAATAACTAAAAAAAAAACATTGGCAACATAAATCGTTATGACATTGTCAAAATGCACTTTTATACATTTTTACCTAAGTACATTTAGTAAATTAGTGTGAATTGAAATTAAATAACACATTACCTAAATTTGTGTATATTATATTAAATTAGTATTCATTGAATGCAAATCATTGATAGTTCAAAGTGATACCGGGGGTAAATGCTTTAGGAAGGTTTATTTATTGGGGTCCAGTTAACTACCAAGAAATTAAAAAGAAATTAACACATTTTAGTCTTTTGATAAATAAAAAAGGACATTAAATATTTTAATCTGCACAAAAATGTGGACACTCCTCCCGCTCAAAATTTGTTTTCGCATATCGTGTATCAAAAGACATTACTACCCCTATCGTACAATTAAAGTTAGAGCTGTCGTTTATTTGAGATTTATAGCATGATATTCTGTTTTAGAATATATTATATCCCTTACAGCAATCAAATTAAGTTTTTATGGCTTATATATATTCTGATTATCCCAATTCTTTGTGTTCTGTGTACACATTAGATACCTATGATTGGAAAAATAAAGCATCACTTGTTCTTCCTGCTCATTAATGGTTTTACATGTTTAATACGTTTTTAACTTAGAATGTTTAGATGATTACTATATTATATGATTATAGTTCATTGGTATGCAATTTAAAAAACCTAAATATGCTTTAAACTAAAATACTCACTCTATAAACATCTTAAAAGCCGTTAAATTTTCGAATTAAACCAATCTATACCAAATATCAATAGTTTTGTGTCACAAATTCAATAGAAGGTAAAACTATAATATCTGCCCTAGATGGAATCCCAATTAGGAATTTTTTTAAGTCCTCTGGGGGTTTATTATTGAACTCACTCCATATGCAATCGAAAATTAGAAGTACACGACGACAATCGTATTGTATCTGTAAGAGTTATCTATAGATACCATAACCAATAATATACAAAATAGAGTTAGTTAGGTTGAAAAGATATAAAACAAGTACCGTGTTGTTAATACGTAAAATTGTTTTAATATATTGTTACACATAAATAAGGAAATATTTTAAAGTAACATCATTTATTATACTTGTATTATTATTTTAACAAGGCGCGGTAAAAAAGTTGAAGATGAACCGATTAAAACAACCAAAAGAACTACAGTCTGAGAAAGATTGGTTGAAGTGGAAAAATGGTTGCGATATATATCTACTAACTTCGGGCAGCAGTAAACTGTTAGACGAGGAAAAAATTGTAGTTTTATTACATTACATGGGCCAGGAATCTGGAAACATTTATGTCACTTTGGAAGGAAAATTAAAGTAGAAATGGACCANATTGTAGTTTTATTACATTACATGGGCCAGGAATCTGAAGACATTTATGTCACTTTGGAAGGAAAATTAAAGTAGAAATGGACCACAAACTACTAGAGGCAATAGTAAAGAAATCATTAAATAAAACTCCGGCTAAGTCGCAACGAATGAGAATAAAATATTTGGAATATGATATTCGATTGTCACACAAACTGGGAATATTTCTTAAAATTCCGGATATTTGAAGCAAAGCATATATCAAAGATCACTTGAACTTATTTGATGTACTATATGCCTGAGTCATAGTTAGTTAATATAAAAAAAACCAATTATTTTAAGATGCATAGGAGACAGATTATAAGAAGTAGTAGTTACGAATATATTTCAATATAAGTGTAAATATTATGTTTTATTGGTAGATTATTTTAGCAAGTATATGGAGGTTGAAGAGTTACCCGATCTTAGCTCTAAAACATTGGTGCATAAAGTAAAAATGATTTTCTGTAGATATGTAATATCAGCATAGGAATACTCTGATAATAGACCGCAGTACAAATACAAAATATTTAAAGCGTTCTCAAAAGGAATTGAGTTTTGGACATCAAATATCTAGATATCCACAATCGAATGGGATGGTGAAAAGGACCATTTAAACGGTAAAGAACATGTTCAAAAAAGTAGTGATGGATAAAAAAGACATATGGCTTGCTTTGCTAGAATTAAAAAATACACCTTTCAATAGTGAAATTGCTTCACCAAATGAAATTATGTTCAACAGAAAACTCAAATGAATAATACAACTAGTATACAATAAAAACAAAAGAAACAGATAAAAAACAATATTTACACGACAAAAACACCAATAACTTCTACAAACTTAGTAAAAGTGAATCAATAATTTAAGATGGCGAAAAACCTTATAGAAATGATCAGATAATAGAAGAATGGGACAGATCAAGATCTTACAATATGAAGTTAGAGTATGGAAAAATAGTGGAAAGAACTATAAGTCATATAATAAGAGTTCTGACGATGCCCGACCCAGACAAATTTGCAGAAAAAGAGGAAATAGAAACAAAGATAAAAGAAAAAAAGGAGGATGAGATAGTAGCTGTCAGTACCAGATTGAGGAGTAATGTGAGAATTTCTAAATACTTAGATGATTATATGAAATAACATAATATATATATAGTATAACTGAATAAGTAAGTTTAAGTATTGATTTGATAACTTAGTAATTTTGTTAGTGCTTAAGTTTGACATATTAATGTATTAAGTACTTAAACTAATTAAAGTGTTTGTTGTCAAATTAAAAGTGGACATGTAAGATAAGAGTTATCTATAGATACCATAACCAATAATATACAAGATAGTGTTAGTTAGGTTTGAAAAGATAGAAAATAAGCATCGTGTTATTACAAGTACGTAAAACTGTTTCAATATATTGTTATACATAAATAGAGATATATTATAAAGTAACATCGTTTATATTCAAATTAATTATCTTAACTGTATTGTCGTAAACGCTTTCTTTTATCTATTTATATTAATTTTTACACACCGGGCCACTTGAAAATTTTAGTTGTAATGCTTATAATACAATTTAAGAAATAGACAATATGCGGTATTCGAAGAACCTCTTTTAGTTAACTCGTTATCACATTACGAAAAGTTGTTGTTGATAATAATAGCAATTTTGTATCATTATTTATGCATTTATTAATCTTGTTTCCCATGCCATCATCATGATTGGTACTTAAATTGCTGATTCATTTTAATATTAGTTTAGGCACTTAGTTGATTAATAATGAAATAAATGGAAAAATTACATACTGTTAATTTTAATATTAAAGTGAATTACCCTTTATCAAGGTAGGCACATTATCTGTGTTTGCACGGTGGTTTTCTTCGATGCTATAGTTTTTAAGTGAAATATTAAAATTTAGAATGCTCATATATCACTTAAAAATGGAAATACTGAGAATAAAACTGACGGATAAATACGCGTAATGTTCTTACCTTAGAGTTTGATAATAAATAAATTAACTTTGATATTAAAACTTGCAGCATAAAATTGTTCCTGCTCAACGCTAAAAGTGTCTATATTGTGCTTGTGTAACTTGATGTGATATGATGGCACATATTACGTTCTCTTAAAGGTCGACTAAATTTCAACTTATTTAGTTTTTAAGGAACGAAGAATGTATTGGTTTTAAAAAGATGTTTATTATTTTAATTATACGTGAAACTTTTGCTACCAGAAAGCTTACTCCGATGTATACGATGTAAATTTCTGAAATTAAATTTTCTTGGGATGCTTTAAGAAGTTAATTTTTAGACAAATATTATTAAAGAAAATATATAATTCATTTAATTAATTTACCACATGTATGTTTTTTACAAAACATCACTGTCAACTACGCTCCGCTCAGAATCATTTTTAGTAATCAATAGTTTATCGTTGCTTACAGATACAAATATATTTACCCTCTGTATCCTACCTTTCCAACTTCTCACCAACAACAGTGGTCGCACCCAACCTAACCATCGTGCGAAGTATATCCGTCGTTTTTGACATAATTTTTTTAAATAATTTCTTTATTTTAATCATAATTTGCTTCATTTGTTTCACTCATAAGACCATATTGTACAATTAAATATTAATAAATAGATAAAATTAATAAAATACATATTTTCGTTTCTTAAATACGTATAAATCCGAACCCTAGTCATAACTGTTCTACGTTTTGAAACATTAGTTTTATATTACCCTATTACCATTACGAATTTGAAACTTACGTCACAGCATCTATCTACAAGTTAGGCATGGAAAAAAACTTTCGCCTAACTATTTATCTTTCTACGCCGCGTTTCGACGATACCTACATATACCTACCTACCAGCTAGCCGCTATCCGCCGTGGCCATTAGAATTGAACGCTATCATTCCACACGAATACGATATCTTTCCCCGCAATTGGGTATTATGTAAATTCGATTGCTACGCGAATCGCTATGGTCGATGTTTCATATTTTATATTGTACGCACGCGTACGCCATAACGATAAAAATATTATAATTTCGATGTTGCCGGTAAAAAATATTACGAATAACGATATTATAATAATATTATTGTGCTCAAAAAGCCCATTCTGAGTATTATAGTATTACAATATATTATATTATGACACCGTCAGTTGACTCCAAAATCATTGATATTAATTTATTATTATTCACAGATAATTCAAACAGGAATCGGGTAAATGGTGGGGGTTTTTTTTTTTCTACCAACAGAAAATAATCGAAGCGACCGTGCAACTATGGTTTTTTTCGAAGTGAGTGTTCGCCCAATTCGTCCTCCCCCTTCCCCTGTAACTTATTGCTTAATACACCACCGGCGTTCAACAGACTAAAAAACGCTTACCATAAATTTCGTACAATTTTTTTATGTAATATTTTTCAGTACATAGGGTCTGTCGTTTGGTTAGATTGTGTTTTTGAAGTATACAATATTATACATTAAGAATAAACAAATTATTCTGTTACCAAGTTCAAAATAGTTGATCGATTCAATAGTGGTAATTAAAAAAACAGCTACCAAATATAAATGAAAATCAAAATAAATAAATAATACGTTTTTTCCAATTGAATGAAATTTTCGAAAATACGGTCCAAGAGGGTGTCCAGAAAACCGAATCACGTTCAAATTACATTTCAAATAGCGTCGCCGTGGTACGTCATCTTAAAAATAACGTTAACCGAAACAGTCATGTTTGAAATATTATAAAAATAATTACGTTTTCCCATAAAAGGGAATTTTTGCCAGACACTATTTGGAACATGGGTATATAAAAACACTACAGTGCAGTGGGTTGAAAGTTTGAAAGGAATAGGTAATAGTTTTGTTTAAGGTCATTCAGCTCATGTAGGTATACTGAAAGCGACGATAAATGAATGCAATCAAAAACGATTCTAAGTATTAACTGATAAATTGTATTAATATTTTACTACTCCGTTGTGGTAAATAAATTAACTAATGATTATTTTATAAAACAGTTATTGGTTATTCGTATTATTTTTCCATGGTTACTTAATCAAAAATACTTACATACGTTATTACTAATAAGTATATGGAAACGAAATTTCATTGTTAAACTTAGAATTATATTTATCATATGTAGAGAATATACCTTTCATCGGCCTTATCAATAAAATTATAGCATCTTATACCGTCAAAATGTGTATATAAATTTATAACAATAAAAACATAACAAAAATGAGCTGATACTAGGGACGGATACTAGTAGACCTTTGTAAGTGGGAATATGGGAAGGTTTGATACATAAACTTATTTAATTTATATTTGTAAACAACGATAAACCATTATAAACGAAAAACGATCCGGAATGAAGTTCGGTTTTACATGTTCTGAAAGGTTGTACTATTTACGGTTTTCGTAAAAATTTGATATTAAAACTCACATACCTATATAAATAAAAAAAAAATTCTACATTCAATTCAATTTATTTTTTTTTTTTACCAATTATTATAACTTATAATGAATTTCTTGTTAAATTTTCAAGCATTTTTGTTTATCCACAGAGTACCTACCGAATGAAAATTACGTAAATTTTATAAAATTAGAATGTCTATAAATAGCAAAAAATTTGCTTGAATATTTTTAAAAAATTACCACATCTAGCAGAGGCAATATGAATTTTTTGTCGAAATTTTAAGTCTCTACGAACATTTTTATCTGAATTTAACAAAAAATCAAAATTGAAAATACTAAAAATATTGTATTCGTAAATTCGTTCGTTCTATTTCGGTTAGGTGATGGAAATTAGTTGAAAAATATTGCCTATTTCGTAAGTAACTAAATCCAAAATGCAACAAAACGAGTTTCAAGGCATTTTTATTAAAGTTATATTTCAAGTAGAAAACATAGTTTGCATAAATTAAAAACAAAGAAATCGCGGCGTGTCGTAAATATTTACTGTTTTACCTGTATTTTATTTACCTGTATTATGAAAACCCCCCGAAAATCAAAAAATGGCATGTCCAGCGCACTACCCAGGTAAAATGTCTATTCATACAATGTACTATGTACATTCAATACACCAGAACAAACTTTCTGGTAGAAAAGTTACACACACAAAAAAAAAAAAAAAAAAAAAAAAAAAAAAACACCACACATTTCATTGTAAAACCAATAGATCCTTCACTTCGCTCCAAGTCAAAAACGTATACAATATAATAAGTATATTAAATCACATCACTTTCTATTCGTTACAGTTGGAATATTTCTAATTAAAAGGACAGTTTCTTTAGTTTTTTAAATTATTTTAAAATAATTTTCGTATTCCTGTGTTATAAAAGTAGGTACTTAGTAAAAATGTATTAGAATAGATATCTAAACTAATATTATTATAATAACAATTTATTGTATGCTTTGTGGCATCTGCCGGATAGTTTATACGCCCGTATACTTATTTCTGAACACTAGATTTCCTCGAGTTCTTTTTTTTCTCACGATAATTTTGTATACAAGATAGCGCTGTATGTGTGTATATTGTTTAATGACACATCGAAATTCAGGGCTACCTGAGTTTTAGTATTAAATTAGTACCTTAACCGAATAAAACAATTATAAAGGTTTACATAATTATAGCCTTTTATTTTTATATTCTGAGTAGGACGAAGAAGCTTAAGGTTTTAAGATGTTTATTTTTTTTTTTTATCTATAAATAATTTTACTACCAGACAACTTGCTCGTAGCAATTTTTCTGTTAGGAAATCAATGTGGGGAGGTACTTTAAACAGATAATTTTCGATTTTTTTAAGAGTTTTCTCATAAAATTTGAAAAACCAAAAACCAACTGGAAAATATAAAACATGTAGGTGCCTATTCGTTGAAATGTATTATGGGCTCCTTTTTTTTTTTGTGCAAACCTTTTTTACCAGCAATTTAGCTCCAACTTATAACGATAGCAATGTTTCTAAAAGAATATTTAACTAGACAGGTGTCTTTGAGAGGTCATTTTTGAATTTACCCAAGAGTTTTCCCAGCAAATGTGAAATAACCGGGATAAAAAATACGGAAAATCGGTACAACATTAAACAAATATTATTAAAGAAAATACACAAAACATATTTAATTGTTTTACTATAAACTGA